ATTAAGCATAACATTAGCAAAGAGAGACTAGTGGTGTTAATAGGTAGAGAATAATGTTCAGGAATGCCATTTTTTACCCAAAGACGCCCCCCCCCCCCAATTGCATTAACTATGCCAGTGCTCCAAGAGAACTACAAAGTATTGCAGAAATTTGGAACAGAGAGACATCATTTATGGCTGGGTGATCCAGAAAGTATTCATGTACTTGAGGGCACATGAGTTTGGCCTTGAATTATGGATAGATGTGCAATACGCAGAAACTCAAGGAAAAATATTCCAAATAATAAATTGCAGGAGGCTACACTGCTCCACGGCTGCTGCATCTCGGCACTAGAATATTGATTATGCTGCAAGCCTACAAGTATTAAGAAATACGTATCCCAGAAGTTAACCCAGAAACACATAAAGAATAGAAATGTTCCCAATTACACAGCTGCAAAAATTTAGTTAGATGTCAGATAGTAAGTATGTATAATAAAATTCAGGTTTGTTACAATTTATACCATGTTAGAAGAAAGCAATTCCTTTGGAAGGAACCTTATTTCACCACTGACTTATAATTATAGATGTACTTAATTCCATCACTGATTTATTTTTATTGGTAATGAGGATTAGTACTTTAGCTTAAAGTATCCCGCTTCCATGTATGTCAAGTAGTTAATGACCTGTAAATGAACTCTTAAATATGCTAAAGAAGCTCATTATTTAAGGTAATTATTTAGCAAAGCAATGATCCTTTGATTATGCAAATTACTGACATTAAATTATAAATCTGTGAGTACCCAGTTTTATGTTTCATCCCAGGCCCTCAAAATGACCTTCCAAAGCAGGTATTGCTTGATCCAAAGTTAGGATGAGTAACAGGACGATGAAAGCATATACCTCAAGGCTGAGAAGAGAGTAGATGTTAGCAACGTTTCCTTCAGCTGATGGAGTTGGGAGCTGGAGATGATGATGATGATGATGATGATGATGATGATGATGATAGCTGTGGCTTGTTATGTTCCTCCTGCTGAGTAGTTGTTTAGATTTATGAAAATATTATGTGCCAATCTTAAGACACATTCTAAAGATTTTCGGCTTTAATGTTGCTTTATTTGAAGACCATCTCCATCAGACAGATATTTATGAGTTACTTTTTATGTATGTACTAAGTGTCAAAACATTTACTAGGTACCGAAAATAATGTGTGCCTGGTAGGAAGGAAGAGGGGTGACCAGGGGGCAAGAAGCAGACAATCAATAAACCTTTTCACCATGTGCTGAGATGGATGAGCTCTGGTCAGATACTCGGAGAAGACTTAGAACAATCACTTGGTCCAGTCTGGGAGAAAGAGGGAAGGTGGTGGAGGAAGTGAAAACAGAATGAAAGCGAAGGGGAGTAAAATGTGGAGATGGGAAGTAGGGCTGTCTTAGGCAGAGAGAAAAAGCCTGTGAGAAGTGAGTAGCAATGGGCTGTTCTCTGGACTGCGGATAACTCAGTGTGACTCCAGTGCTGAGTGTAACGATCGCTGTGGTGGCGGTGCAAAATGAGGCTGGAGAGGGAAAAGGAGCCAGAAGTTTTATCTTGAGGAATATGTTAGGAGGCACTGAAAGATTTTAAGTAAGGGGCCTATAAAACCAGGTTTACATTTCAGAAAGATCAGCATTATGAAAGGGGGTCAAGCCACTGGTGATATTAAAAATTCCAGTAGCCTTTTTAGCCGGGACCAAAGGGCAGGAGGGTCTTATGTGAGCCAAGTTAACACTTCAGTTGCTGCCTCCAGGCCTGTGCAGATGGAGGCAGTGTCTATTCACTAACATATAGAGGTATTCAGTATCTTAGCAATCATAAGGCTGCACTCATATGTCCTAGCTGAATATCTGTTCTGGGTGGAAGGCACTGGATTCGGTTGAGAGCCATTGGAGATCACTGATATAACCCAAATAGAAGTATGTCACAGGAGAGATCAAAACACTTGAATGCACTCAAGATACTCAGAAAGAGAAATTAAATGACTTGGCTATTAATTGGTGGTGATGGAGTGAAAGGGAGGGGGAAAAGGGATGACTTGTCTCCTGGCTTGAGGAAATAGGTGGATGGAGTGGCCATTCATTGGTTCATTGAGAAGTGTGAAAAGGGAGTAGAATAATCAGGGATAGGAAAGCCAGTGAGTTTTTTATTTGATGTATCTCTTGAACACTGAGGAAGACATGTTTGTTTAGCATTATATGATCCTATAAATTTGAAGCTCAGGAGAGAGAGGAACAAGAGCCGCAGGTTTAGGAGTCATCATTACAGGTGGGAGTTGAAGCCATTCACGGTGGACGATGTCTTCCAAGTAGAGCATATCGAGTGAGGTGCCACCATCTTGGAGAGTGAGTCTTAGGTGTTCCCTAGGCAATAGTGCCTTGTACACACACACAATTGGACATCATATCAAAACCCATATGCGATTTACTAACCACTCTCTTACATATCTCAGTATTTATAGGTTTCCTAGGTTAGGGGTGAAGTGCATTCCCAAAGATGTCCCTTTGTGGATAGAATATCCCTCCCCTACTCTTCTTCACATGGAAAAATATGTGCTTTTATAGATGGTGTAGAAACACTGTTTTCAGTTAGCCCTACTCTCCTTCCTGAATACTAAAAGGAATAGAATCTTAATTGATCTCCAATAAAAAATTTGGAGAAAAATTATTTTCAGTTTATCTTAAGTTATCCTAACATATAAATTGGTTCTTTTGTTTACTAATTTACTGTTTTTTCCTAAATTCTATATATTGTCTACCTATTCTTTTTCTTAGTTCTTCTCCAGGCCTCTGCGCCTATGAGAACTATTAAAACCAATTCATAGCTTCTTGCTTTCTGTCTCTCTCAGAACTCCTTCTGAATATGGCTGCCAGCATACTTCCCAAACTCCACTTCCATGATGTCACTCACCAAGAGCTGGCAATGACTTTTCCACTGTCAATTATACCAAGAGCATACTGCACCCCCCCACCTCCGCCCACTCTCTAGAATAAAATCACACCTAGCCTATGAATGGTTTTGATGATTCCCTGATAGAGCTCCTCAAGGCAATCAGACCTAAATCTTCATTGACTCACCGCCCTAGTCTGCATAATTCACACACTTGTTTTCTGTTTTGCTGAGCTGGGGTCTCAGCAGTAAGAAACATGGTTTATTAGAAAGAGCACAGAGATAAGACTCAGAAACTCTGGCCCTAAGTTTGAAGCCTAGTGACTCTTTTGACAAGCTATTTAATTTCTTATCTCTGAGAGATAAAGAAATCTGCTAACACCTTTCATAGGGTTATTCTGAAGGGTAAATGAGATCATCTATGTGAACGTGCTTTCTAAATTATAAAGTGCTAGATAAAGCAAACCCTATGTAATCAAAATTTCTCTTATCTGAAATTCAGGAATACACGATTTTTAAACAATGTATATGTTTGATAGCTTTGAAATTTTCAGTGTTCTTAGATACAAGTTAGAAGTCACTACTATATGAAATAATTAAAAAGAAGGACCCAGAGGTTGGGAACAGAAATAGAGACAAAATAAATACTCAACAAATTCTTGGGGATTCTCAACATTGGTTTTCCAAAAGAGTGGGCTTCAAAGGGTTTCAAGTAGAAACCCTAGGATGTAGAGGTACATTCTTGCCAACTATATTCTTATGATGAGGAATGCAGATAATTGTAAGAAGGAATGGCAGTTCCAAAAGTAAGACTGAGCCATGAAGTCATAAAGATATACAAAATTTGGATGAGGAAAAGCTAAAAACTCAAAAAATTAAGTGCTTTCTAATATATGTGTTATCTGCAAAAAAGCAGAAGCAGATTAGTAAATCATTATAACTTTGTTGCAAAAAGATTACAAAAAGTATCTGGTGAAAAAGCAAATGGAAATTAGCAATATACTACTCATTGGCACTAATTTAAGGTTTCAAAATGTCCTTTGGATTGCAGTTTTTAATTCAATGATTTCAAAATTATTTATGAATTTTTGCAGGTTCACTCAAGACCCTTGCATTGGTAAGCCTACTTTCCTTCATATGCCAATCTTCCTTTCATTTTGGTTTTAAAGGCCTTTTCCTCAAGTTCGGGAAGGTCTATGGGATGTTGAGGGTTGGGCTAACACCATGGGTCATCCATGGTATTTTCCCCTTACCTATGATGTAGATTATCTGTTTGTTTCCTAAACATTGCTTGCATTTTTGGGCCTTTTCCATTCAACATTGTTGTTTTTGTGAGATTCATGAATTATTTCCAAACATGGTTTTGCTTTTTACCAAATAGATAGAAGGTTCCTTAAGGCCAACACAAAATATAAAACTCTCTATTCCTTATAAGAATATTGTAAACCTAAGTATGCACATAGACTCTTAACAAGTATTTCTAGAGTAACTGAAATCAAGTCTAATAAACAGAAGTTAACTCTCTATGGTTTCTCAGCTGTAAATGCAACATGAGTAAAAACTGTTACTTCTTATCGGAATATAAACTTAGTTCCTCATATTTACTATTAATGTATTTAGAAAACCAAATTTGTTTATGGACTAATGTCTTATTCAGTTAATGAGATGTTAGAAAATGTAGTGGTTTAAAAATCATTTTCCAATTACTAATCAAGCCAGAAATGCTTAGAAAATTCAAGATGATTCATTTGAAATGCTCCTTTTGATATTATGCCTAAGGGTTTATAGAGCATATCTACAAAACATATAAAATTTTTTTTTGTTTCAATCCTGTAGTTCTTGACAGAATTTGAAATTAAAATGGTACTCAACATGACCAATTAAATGTATTGTGACTATTTGGGGGGAATATTGGTAAGAATGGCTTTTTTTTAAATACCCTCTTATTTTAAAAGTATTTTATAAGTGAAAAAAAGGCAAAATCGTTTTTAGAGTTTGTTGAGAACTTCAAAAATCTAGTCCCCAGAAGCAAGATTCATCATCAGGATAGTATCTAAGACCTAGCCAAGTTTTCAAAATAGTGCCCACATATACCGTACTTGTTGAACAAATTCAGATTTATTGAAAGTAAACATTTACATTGGCTACAATGTTAGAACTATTACAAAGCTGATTAAAAGAGGCTTAAGTAGCAATAGAAAGCAAGTGCAATAAAAAGTGAATAGAGAAAATATTTGGCCTTAGTGATCTCTTGGCAGTATTTACATTATGTACATATTGTTAAATATTTATAATAACTCTAAGGCACCAAAGGCTAAATAGCAGGTTGCAATATACTATTTTGTGCACAAAAGTCAAGAAATTTATTGTAAAGAAGGCTGGATAGTTAAATAAACATAGGCATATCTTAATGTTTACATAAAGGAGTGGCTGCATTTTTTTTAAATCTCAAATGATACATTAAATATTGGGCAGATTGAAGAAAATATTTTTAGAACATTAAATTATGTTGACTATGTAAATAAGCACTATTTTTTTACTGACTTGCTGGTAAATGTGTAATGTAATCTATTCTTCAACACAGCTTTTTCACACTCATGGATATGTTTTGTCTAAAAACTACTTGAAATTGTTTTAACCTACAAAAACTTATCCTAATATATCATACTGTATACAAAATCTCCAGGAAAAATTGACTGGACAATAATATACATCAAATTTATATATAATCTGACAAAAATTTAGCAGGCATTCAATGCCAAAATAATTGAATATTCAGTCTGCCATTCTGGCAAAGCAGTTGAGTATTTTAATCCTTTAACTGTTAAGTGAGCAATTGTTTGTGGCTTAGGTGAATTGAAGTCAAATTGGCCCATGGAGAAACCAATCTGAAAGGGAACTAATTATATTCAAATTTTGCAACTTGAAACCCCTTCATATAACTCACTGGGTTGTACCTACATCATTCATCACCAGTGACTGAAATATCCATATTACTGCATTGTCAAGAGGTAACTGACAACAATATCTATGTCCAACACAGTCTTGACCATTGAATTATTTGATAACTTTCATTTGCAAAATTTTATTTGTTCCTTCTACTGGAAACCCAATTTACCTTCACAAACAGTCTATCATTTGTCTTGAGGTAGTGTTATAATGAAGAATTCAGCGGAACAATCGAATAACATCCTAATATTTTTTAAATGTGCTTCAAGTGCTACTATGAAATCCACATATTTAAGTGGTAGATAGTCCAAGGTTGAGTGGCCCTTCATGATATATGAAATTACTATTTGATGAAGGCATCCAGACATTAACAAAGATGATGAGTTTTTCCTTAAAACTTTCTCAAATGCCATGCCCTCTGGCAAGTTATGATATTATGGTATAAAGTACTGCTAAAATTCTTTCAATGGTATTAAAAATTCATAGACTTGCATATTAAAAGTTTTCTTTCTTTTAGCAAAGCAGAGAATAACTGAGAGAGGTCTTTTCTAAACTCTTAAATTTTTCAATGAGAGATATTCAGAACATTAACAATAAATAGTTTTGGGGTTGGTTTCTTACATCACATATCTAATACTAAGCTTAAGGATGTGGCACATCTTTAAATTTTAAATTGAAGACACCTCCATGTCCAACATTTGACTGAGATTTGCTGAGCAAAAAGAAATAAAAATAATTTCAACATAATGTAGTCTAAGGCACCTTTGGTGCCTTACTATAATGTATTCTATAGCACTAGGTTATAAGTATATTATTTTTTCTCTTCTCGAATGTCCAGTCATTTTCTTCTCTTTTTTAATACAGTGGACAGTGAAAGAGGACAAATTACTTATAGGGAAATGTTCACAAAGTCAGTAACGCAGGAAAAAGTAGAAATAAATTAAGGTTCTTCTTCTCCTACTTCAAGAATGAAAATAAAAGATTACCTTTGTTCGGTGGGTTAATACTAAGTAGTAATGTCACACAATTAATATAACTATTACAAAGCATCAGTGAACAGACTTCAAATATTATATAAATACAATACAATATCACATTTGGCATCATCAAATATGTCAATAAATAATATCTTTATGGGTTGACTGAATCAAGGCATGATAATGTTTAAGCTTCTAAATTTTAAAGACCTCCTTGGATCTTGTAAGCATGATATTCATTTACTACTAGTATATATTGAAATTAAATTCTTTAAAAATAAAGTAAGTATCAGCATACTATAGCTATCCCAATATCAAAAGTTCAATTAAAAGAACTTAATTGCTCTAATACTTAGAATATTTGCTTACAAAGGATCTGAACTTAATTTTCCAAAATAAACTTAAAATCTGTCATTCTGCATTGTAATAGCATTCAATTAATTACCATTAGGAGACATCTTATTTTATTATCATAAAAGATGTCTATTATCTGTAATATTTAGGAGCCATTAAAACTATCAACTACTTTCCTTGTTCTAAGAGGTGAATTTACTTTTATTCTTGAACTGGCAATAGGAGTTTGCATTAAGCCAGTGTTTGCTCCCTGAAATGCTCTCCCCTGAGTCCTCCAAGTTACCCTTCCAGTTCAGATTTTAATACTACACTCCTTACCGATCACTCAACTGTTAAGTCAGACCTTAATGGATTGGGTCCATGGTTTTAAAACTGTGCTTGGAGGCACTGAACATTGTTTTGGGAGGTGCCTCAATGATGCCAGTGGCCACATAGGTGGGGCTCTAAGACTTCAATTTCTAAATCCTGCTAGTACATCTTCGTAGTTATGGTATTTATAGAATGTGCCACAAAATTAATTTGAAAAATTATCTTGTTGCTTAAAAATGTTTTTAAAACACAAAGGGATTTGGAAGACTTGGGGAATCTTGACAGGAAAAAAGCAAGTGGTCCTCTTGTCCTGTGTAAAGTCTTCAAGTATCTGGTCACAGAACACTAGGTAAAATGCTCTATTTTGGCCCTACCATGCCAATACTGTCCCTCAGTCTGGCTTTGGGTTCAGAGGCACAAATCAGAATAGATCAATGTTTTAAGTGTATCCTATAACAATGATTAATATCCCAACCACTTCAAGTCTATTTTTGCAGAAATTAAGTGGCATAGCGATTATTTACAGTATTAGAAAACAAACAATTAATAAATACTTCTTGAACAGCAACCCTTAACAACGTGTATGACCTTTTCGCTCACCTTTTATGCCAAAGGAAATAAACATAGAAGTTATAACATTATACTTGCAAATGACTAAACATTTTTATTTATTTATTTTCTTTCTAAATAACTGAGCAGCAGATATGAGCCTTGATTCAGGATTTGAATAGAGTGGCAGACTTGCTAATTAAATTGCTCTCATGAATGGCCTTATTCCAAAGACATCATGTAGGGAAATAAACACCATCAATTAAAACTTATGATGAATATGAATAACTTTAGGACTCAAAGAAATAGAAATGATTTTGATGAGCACATGACTCTTGAAAGGAAAATGCTGAGAGCTGGTGTTATTATTCTCTATAAACTTATTTGCGTTCTTTTAATATAAAAGAAACTTCAAAGTTTATCTTCTTTCTCAATATGAAAAAAACTAAGCCGAGGTATTAGATGAAAAAATATAAAAAATGCTGGTGTGGTATAAATAAATTTTAAAAATGCTCCATTGTAGGAAATAAAAAATATAGTTTGTTTAAATTTTGAGGCCCTTCTCTTAAACGTATAATCATTTAAATATAGATTTAGTCCACCTGGGGCATCTATGTTCCCCAAATTATAACTGTTAGATAACATCACGAAGGAGCTGAATTTTAACTGAAGGGAAAATTATTTAAACAAATAGAAAAATTGTAAATATTTTCAATGACTGAATAGTGGTAAATTTGACTCATATCTTGGTTTATGTCCAGATTTACTGCTTACTATTATTCTTTTCATTAAATGAGCATAGATAGAATTGTGGAGCTGTGCCATCTGTTGTTGAAACACATATATGTGTATACATACACACATATATGCACAGTCACACACTCTGATGTATCAATCTATAGATATGTACATTACATACTCTTGGGCAAAGCACTGCATCTAAGACCTAATTATTTTTGTATAAGAAAAAAATAACAGGATAACAGGAAACGTCCCTCCCCAAAACATTTGAATGCTCATACCACTAATTAAACAGCACATCAGAATGTGCAAACGTACTTATTGCAAAGTATCACATAGATTTAGACGTCATTATAAAATGTTCTCAGTTCTATTTTGGTAACCTAAAATGTCGGTATATAATACCAAATTTCCAATTAAAGAGTTTAATATAAAAATATCAGCACAAAACTGTTTTTTCAATCTGTTTATTGTGTGAGCAACCCAAACTTTAGTTTAAGTGCTGTTGTAATTTTATTACTAGATTCCATAACCCTACAATTGATAAATTTTATACCATTTTAGGTATTTAATGAGATACTTAGAAAGACTAAGAAAAAAATCAGTATTCAAAGGGTTACTTTTGTTTATAATAACAATAAATTATTTTATCATCTTCTTTAGTTCAAAATCCAGCTTTGAACCCGAGGAAGGCTTTCAAATCATGTTAATTAAATGGTGGTCCTTTAACCAGTAGCAGTTTGATTACCAATTACTCGAAGGATCTCTTTGTGAATGCCTCCTTCTTGTGTGTTAATATTCGCATCTCCAACTTGGCCATCTTCATAGCTAAAACCCAAAAAAAGAAAGAGAAGACATTTTTAAAGGGATAAAATATCCAAAAAGCACTTAAGCCGCCTTAGAAATGCTATTTGGTACCTAAAACCTTTAATAGCCAAAGGGAATGAGCAGTGAAGAAGTTATTTCTCAGTTGTATTTAATAATGTGTGTGCATTAATAAACACAGAAAAGCCTGCTAAACACATGATCATCCTACATCATGCCCTGTTTGCCCCTTCCTTCCTTTTTCATCCCTAAAGCATCGCCTGTGCTGCAGGAAGCACCTTGTGTCTTTGGCCTGGCAGACTTTTCCCTCAGCAGTTGTTTTATGAAGCCTACCCTGAAGGAACATACCAGCCTTAGCTTTCCATTCCTTAGGTTTGAAACTTGTTAGCCCCACTCGTACTTCAATCATTTGTTTATTTTCTGATCTGTGACACTTTAGAAATTACTTCACTTTCTGCCGCTGCTCTGCCTTCTAATTATTATTCTGTTGTGATCGGTGCCACCTTTTTTCCCCTTATCACTGGTTGCTCTATGTAGACTGACTATAGAAGATATTCTTATTTATGCTGGTACTTCACAGAGGAATGCAAGTGTGCTAAGTTTAGCTAAGCTACAGAAGTGGAGATATAGCATTAAAGGACAGCGATTACTAAGTCCTTTAGAAAGAAATAATTGCATTTTAGACGATTATTCATTTCCTCAAATAAACTTACTTGGGCAATAAGAATTTTCCAAGAATGGGTTTTTAAACTTCCATGGTAATATTCAGAAGGAGAATAGGTGATGAATTAATTTTACTTCATAAAAATGACTTCAAGACAGAAGCTTTCGAGAAGTGGTAATTACTTCAAAGTAGATAACCAGGGGTGTAAGCAGTCTCAAAGATTTATGCGCACCACTGTCTTTTCCTCACCACATTAAAATTCTCCTGAAATAGCACAATACAGGAAAATGGAATAGATGACACACAGCAATGAGAACTCCGGTCCTTATGTAATCCACTGCTTAAATACCTAGTGATCACTGCATTTGTATCAAGTTTAAACTCTTAAGAACTCACCCCCTGTTGCCTATCAACTTGATTAATTTGATCCATATTTTATGTACACACACACACACGAGTGTATGCATATGTACGTGTCAGATACTCACTGTGAAGAAAAGAAAGGGATATGTGGCACATGGCTCACTTAGAATTATTTTCCCAGGAGACCAAACTGTAAAAGTGCTGTGTTAATTAAATGGAGAATGCTAAAGCGAAATGTTTTAAGCACTGTCTGAATCCAATTTGGTGCTTTGTGGCAAACTGTGTAAAAGATACATTTTACTGGGCAAGTAAAATATGTTATACTGGTTTTTGTGCAAATCCTGGCTACCCATGGGACAAAGGGTAAACTAAGCCATCCATAATGCTGAGTCAAGGCTGGGGAGGCAGCCTGGCTTGCAGGCTCATCCCAAGAGAGAGAATGGTGTTTACCAAGCTGATCCAGCTAGTTCCTCAAGGATCTGGATTTTGGAAAGCAAAAAACACTACCAAAAAGACAACTGGAGAGACAAAGAAACCATAGTGCTTACACATACCAGTCCACATGGCTCTCTCCTCATTTTCCTAATACACATTTATGTTTGTTCTCTATGGCATCTGTGTCCTCTGTCCACTGGACAGAAAGTTGAGTAAGATACTCTTGGCTTAACTGATACCCAGCCTACATATTATACCATCTCTATTCCTTTCAATTTAAAATTGACCTTTGAGATTTGTCTACAGTACATTTTAACTGCTCCTGCTTTCCTCAACCCACTGCAATCATTCTTCTGACCCTACCACTCTACTGAAAGTATGGACAATGGTTACCCATGGCCTCATAGATGAGAGATTCAGATTTTACCTGCTACGTCTGCAATATGTGATACAGTCGACTGCTCTTTTTTCCTGAAGCTATATTATCTCTCCACTCCCTAGTTGGCCCTTTGATTATTAATTCTCAGTTTCTTTCCTCTCGTCTTCTTCCCTGGCCTCCCATTTCAAGGCTGGTTTTAGCCACAATTCACTCTCAGTGTTTTCTCTTTTCATGATATGCAAACTCTCAATTATTTCGGTCTCTCCCGCTGCTTTAATTATCACCCACATGCTGATTCCTAAACTCTATCTCTAATCCTTACATATTTCCCTAACTATAATTTTCCAACAGAAATCACAAATCTAGTATATTCAAAGCTGAGCTTAATTTTTTTACCCAAGACTCCTTTTTTTACTCTATCAAAATCTCAATTTGGAGTACCATCATCTACCCAGTCTCTCAACAAGAAAACTTCAGCCATTCTCGGCTCTTCCATGTGCCAAAATCCAATAAATCACCAAGTTATCTTGCTTCTGTTTTCCTAAGTATTCCCAGTTGCATCTTCTCTTCATTTGATGCCAAAACCTTCGTTTAGGGCTTCATTATCATTTGTCTAAACAAGTGATTTTCAAGTCGCAGGTTATGTACAATTAGCAGGTTCTGAAATTAACTTAGATTGTCCAGGCTAGCATTTTTCAATGAAATTAGAATAGAATAGGACATGGAATAGTAAAGTCACCACACAAAGTAAGCATTGTTTTTTCTCAGGTCACAATGTCAAACACATTTTCTTTTGGAGTGAGAAATACTGACCTAGATGATTATAAGAACATTATAACTGATCTCTCTGTCTCCACACTTAGCCCCATCGTCCCTCCTATAAGATGATTTCCTGCTCTGCTTGAGTGATACAAATGGCCTCCACTTCACTTGCAGCACAAAACCAATGGCACTGGCATGACACACTGGGGTCCTTCATAACCTAATCCTAAATTTCCTCTCCAGCCACATCCCTCTCCTCCAATACTCTATCTCCATCAGATGGAAGGGTTTGATATCCCCAAATACTACCTGTTCACTGATACTTGAAAAGCATTTGTAGTTAATGGAGAGAAGATGAGACTTATATTCTCTAAATAAACAGTAATAATTTAAGACAGAAAGAGCCTGGGGTAGAGGGAGTAGAGAGCAAGAGCAATCGATTGAAATTAAAAATATTAAGAAAAATGCATATTTCTCCATTGCCTAGGATGCCCAGAGGAAGCATTTGTAAACTGGAAGGATAAAACTGGCCACAAGCATTCAGGTGTCTTAAATAATGAAGCATATATAATAATAAAAGGAAAGACAAACTACCATTTGACTTGGCCAACTGGCAGAATTTAGATATATGCATTACTGGTGGCATTAGGGCATTTACTACAATATGGCATACAGAATACTTTGCTGCTATTTATTAGTATTATAGACAAACACTCAATTGCTAGTTAAACAGTGAAGTTCATTTATGTCCAGAAAGCACCAATATTAAAAAAAAAAAGAAATGGAGCAAGAATGATATCAATAGGGAAATGATACACCTTTTTTTTAAAGATTATTTATTTATTTATTCATAGAGACACACACAGAGAGAGAGAGACAGACAGAGGCAGAAGCAGGCTCCATGCAGGGAGCCTGACGTGGGACTCGATCCCAGGTCTCCAGGATCATGCCCTGGGCTGCAGGTGGTGCTAAACCGCTGCACCACCGGGGCTGCTCAGGAAATGATACACTTGACTGGGGTTTTCTGAAGAAGGAAAAAAATGAAACCATCTAAAAGGAGACAAGAATTACTTAAGTTCTCAGGAGCCTAAAAAGATTACTAAAACTTTAATAAAAAATAAACCAATGTGCTTAAAAAGCTATGAGAAATAAAATAAAAGAACAGAGGGAATTTAGCTGTCTGAAACTCTCTGGGTATGTTAGAAAATTTTGTGGATAAAAACTTCTGAATGTACTGACAAGTTCTATTCCCAAACTGATGGAGCAACTTTGTGACAGCTTTAAAGAATGGCACATGTAAATTTGTTTTCGGACTGCCTGAATCTGGAACCCAGAAACGATAGCACTGTTTTTTTATTAGCAATAGAGAGGAGAAATTCACTATGAACTGAATGATATCCAGCACTTCTCCAAAGTTCCTTAAGGTATCTGAGGCATTGTCTACATCACTGCTCATGTTCCATATCTCGTCGTTACTTTGGAATGTTCAGTCTTTGTCATTGCTTTCATTCACTATGTGTGAAGTGTTTCTGCAAATAGAATTTGCATCTTACTAGGGGAGATAATAGAGTTATGCAAATAACTGTAAGACAGGCAGCAAGGATAAGCAAGGACGAGTAAAATTTACAGTAGACCGACATCATGTCTGGGATGTCAGGAAAGACCCCATGGAAAAAACCACGTAGTTAAGTCATGGAAGGTCAGCTAAGGCTGAGGTGGCAAGAAGGTTCATCGTTTGGACTGACTGAACAAAGGCATGGTAGTAGGAAAAATAATTCCACATTGTTTTCAAGAAATACTCTTATTCGATCACTAGTTTGTACGGGTCATTGAAATAAGGTAAAAAGGGCTCTATGTTGCAGAATGTCATGTTTTTATTTGCTAAAAACTACCAGTGTGTATGAACAGGGTATAATCGAAGCTCTGCTTTAGGACTATTAATGTGATATAAACAGCATGATCTTTTTTTTTTTTAAACAGCATGATCTTAAAAAAAAATTATATGCATGGAAATGTAGGCTACATACCAAAAGATTAACTATAGTTACCTTCAAGTGGAGATATTATGGGTGACTTTCTTCTTTTTTGCTGACCTTTAATTTCAGTTTCTATACAATGAACGGATATCATTAGTGTAAAAATGTTAATGTGCAATAAATTTGACATTGTACAAGATAGATTAGGGGCAATGACAAAATCAGAAGCATAGAGAATAACTAGTAATCCTTTGATGGACTCTGGGGCAGAGAATGATACATCTGTGGAAACAAAGGTATCGAAAGGAGAAAACTATAAAGATATATGTTGGGCATATAAGGAAAAAGAAATTAAAAACTACAGCTCAGGATTCAAGTGTCTTTGAGTAAAATTACTGCATAGATTGGGGAAGCCAAGAACTTG